CATTACACATCAATTTCATCTATCACTATTACTAAATACAGTTATTAAAAAATTTTCTTATTAAGTTCTAATTTCTTAACTAATTTTTACCAAAATTACAAGACTTATTCTATAACATTTCTCTCCCCTTCAAGAACAAACTATGTGAGTTCCAATTCGGAGAAGAACTTGAAAAAGTTCATTATCTGTTAACTTTGTAATCGTTGTATAAGTAATATAGATCGTTCGAGAGATGTTTTCTATAGGTCAGTTGGAGAAAAGTAGTTTCATCTGTTGGGCACACTTCCATGTGTCTCAGGCTCTTCTTTCTTTTTGAGTCTTCCCAATGGTAGATCAAATATCTTCGTAAGCATCAGGGTACTTTTTTATAAGATCACCAAGATGATAATAAGCTTCGAGCAGCTTGGTTTGGTTTTGTCTGTTTCTAGCACAAGTCTTACTCTGTTTGAGAACTTTCTGTAATTTCTCTTAGTAGGTTATCCCAGTATATGAAGGAATAGTCGTCTAAGTCAATGGTCCACAAGGCTGGATTATATCTTGTACAATCCTGGTTAATTTCCCAGGTATTGGGGCGGGGGTAACTTCTTCTTGACTGACAATTAGAACCGACAAGGTTTTTTCTTGTATGTCTTCTAATTCTAAGTTTGGGTTATTTCTTCTGTGTCATTTACTTCTGATAAATTAATTTCTAATTGTTCTGTGTCTTCAAGAGTGTTCAGAAAATTATTTGAGTCTGGCTCAAGAAAAGAAGTAATTAAATTAGTGAGGTCAATAGTTTGAGTAGTATTATTATCACATAACCATACACATTGTGATGTAATCCACAATGTATTATTTTGGGTAGCATTATCCTGTTTCCATGTCCGAAAAAGGTATTGGAGGGCTAACAAGATTTGGGGTTGCAGCATAGGAGTGATCATTTTTGGAAAAATTCCAAAAAGGGTAGCTGTATAAATATATTTTGAGGTTTTATGAACTAAATTGTGTGTCCCATCCCCTTGTAGATCAAATTTCTTCTAGAAATTTCTAGGAGAATCAATAACAACTACTGGTTCCCATGCTTGTGGCTCATAATACTTAGCAAGACGATCACTATTATAATACTTTTGCAAAATTTTTCCTTCTATTATTCATAATTTATAAGCACCATTGTCTAACTTCTCATAGATAAGGAAGGGTCCAAACCTTTTGTCTTCAAATTTGGCTGAGTAAGAGGCTTCTAATTCCTTTCTTTGTATCTATACTTTATTACTAATTTCAAATATTTCTGGTCAAATATTGGCATCAAAGCAGACTTTTTGTCTCCACTATGACTGTTCAGTATTTTGTCTTGCCTGGCTCTGATAAGTCAGTAATTTCTCTATCAACTCATAAGCATGTTGAAGAATACTTCCTTGTAAGTCTATTTCATCATTTACTTCTGTAGGTTCTACTGGAATAAGTACTTTGATTGGCAAGATAGCATATCTCTTATATATAAGTTGAAAGGGGGTATATCCTGTGATAGCATGTCTTTTCATTCTGTATGCTAAGAGAACAGCAGGAATATACAAATCCCAATCATCGTCTCCTTTCACTTTTGCAAGTAATTCATACAATGTTCTATTGAATCTTTTACCATACTATTTGTCTGAGGATGGTAAGGAGAAGAGAATTTATGCTTGATAAAAAATTTTTCACAGAGAATTCTAACCATTTTACTAATAAAATTGCAACCTTGATCTGATAAAATAATTTTTGAAGTTCCATGTCTACAGACTATTTCTTCAAAAATAAACTGAGCAAGTGTACCAACACTAGCATCTGGAACAGCACGAACTTCTGGCTACTGTATTAGGTATTAAGTAGCAACTATAATATATCGATTATTTTGTTTAGTTATAGGCAAAGGGCCTACAAGATCAATTCCAACACATTCGAAAGCTCTTCCAATTTGTATAGGATGTAAAGGCTCTTTTCTGCGGCCTTTTTGTCTTCGTTGGCATTCCTTACAAGTTTTTATATATTTTTGTATGTCACGATACATTTGGTCCCAATAGTAACGTTCTGATAATTTATAATATATAGCATTCATTCCCAAATGTCCAACAGTCAGATGCTTATACATCATATATAATACTGGTTCGACTTCTGTCTATTTAATAACTCTAGAGGGTCTGTCTGAATTTCTTTTATTCTTTTTATAGAGAAGGTGATGTTTAATTTCAAAATATTTAGCCTGGGTCATAAGTTGTTTCGGTTCTGGATTAGTAAATCCATCTAGAAATTGGTCTGTATCCAAATAGTAGTAGAGGTTATAATATCGGTCAAGATTCATGAGGTCCATTAGATATAGTTGTCTGCGTTGGTAATCGTGATAGGTATCAACATTTGAATGAATTTGCCCCGGTTTATGGACAATTCCAAAATTGTATGGTTGGAGCTTCAAGATCCATTTCCCAATTCTTCCCTTTGGTTCAGCAGTACGTAACCACTTTAATGCTAAGTGGTCTGTAACTAAAATAAATTTTGTAGCATCTAAATATTTATAAAAATATTCCATAGCCCATACAACTGCAGCACATTCGAGTTCAGTAACCGCATAATTCATTTCTTTCTTAAACTTTTACTAGCATAGGTAATTGGGTGTTCTTTCTCATTTTTATCTAGTTGACTTAACGTGGCACCAAAACCATTATAGGAGGCATCAGTGGCGAGTATAAATGTCTCTTTAGAATTTGGGTAGGCCAATATAAGGGCAGTAATAAGTCTAGATTTTAATTCTTCAAAAGCTTTTTGCTGTTTATCTTGCTAGTGATAAGGTTTATCTTTGTGTAGCAGGGAATTCAAAGGGTGAGCAATTGATGAAAAGTTTTGGATAAACTGGCGATAGTATCCGGCAAGTCCAAGGAAAGATCGAAAGGCTGTAAAGTTTTTAAAAGGTTGGATCCATTAGACAGCTTCTACTTTTTGTGGGTTAGGGGCGATACCCTTAGCTGAGATAAGATGTCCTAAAAAAGGTAATTGGTGCATCCAAAAGGTACACTTTTCTATATTAAGTCTGAGTCCCGCTTGTTTAATTCTATTAAATACTCTTTTTAAATGAGTTAAGTGTTCATCAAATGTTCTAGAATAAACAATTGTATCATCTAAATATACAACAACAAACTTCCATGCAATTCCTCTATATACATGGTCCATGAGTCTTTGGAAGGTTGCTAGAGCATTATTTTCTTCAAAATATTTTAAAATTATTATTTTTTAGTATTGCAAAGACCAAAAGGTATTACATTAAATTCATAAATTCTGTATCATATAGTAAAAGCAGTTTTCTCTTTGTCACGGGGTCTATGGCAACTTGTTAATAACCACTCGCAAGATCGAGAGTAGAAAACCAAGAGCATCCTATAAGGGCATTAAGCATTTAATCAATACGAGGTAGAAGGTAAACATCCTTTTTAGTGATAGCATTCACTTTTCTGTAGTCTACACAGAATTGTAATTTGACATTTTTCTTTCGTACTAACACTACAGGCAAGGTTCAAGGGCTATCAGAAGGTTGAATAAGTTTGTGTTTTAACATCCTCTGTACTTCTTCCTGTATAAATTCTTGCTCATCAGAAAGTACAGAATAAGGGCGAGAGCGAATAGGGTGTATATCCTCAGTATAGATTCGGTGAGTAACTAGGTTAGTTCATTCTAGCTCAGTTATATCAGTTGCAAAAAGGTTTGCAAATTCTTCTAATAATTTTCAAAAAGCTAGGCCTTGTTCTTTATTAAGTAGTCTAATATACAATGAGGTCTGGGTCAACAGGGTATATTCTTCATGTTCAAGGATAATAATATTTACAGGTCTAGATATCAAATCTTGGTCTGAGTTGACAGGTAGTTTATGATCCTGCCCAGGATTCCTTAAAAATTTTGACAAAGCGTATTCAAGACATTTGCATGTTGGTGAGCATTTTGAGCTTCCTCTTGGAAAAAGTATAGTAAAGCAGTATTGGTAGTTTTCAAGGTTTCAATTCTTGCCTGTAGTTGTTTTATCAGTTAGTCTTGTTGTTGTACTTGTTGTTGGAGCTAACCAAACTGTGAACCATTATCTGTTTCCTTACTAGTTTCTTCAATAGGAGAGGAATAAATTTCTGGGTTGAGAAGCTTGAAATCATCACAGTATTCTTGGTTTGCATTCAATTCCTCTTGGTGTTTAACATGTAAATATTCTTGGCAAAGGTCAACAGGAACTGTAAAGTTTCTTCGAAGTATGGCAAGAGCATACTTCTAGTCATAGTATGGGTGACTAGTATCAAAGAACTTATCTAAAATTGCTTGTAGGGGATTGATATCATTTTCTGACAACATGTCTGATTCGGCTTGTAAAATAAGTTGTATTTCATAATAGAGATTCTAAGGCCTGGGTGATGGTCTGGTCATTTTCATCCAAAAGAATCTTGCAAGTCGGTAGATTCTTGTCTGGTTCATTTCATATTGGTGTCCGGCATTCTTTGTTGACTCAGTATACAGTTTGATTCGGGTCCAAAGGTTATAGTTAAGGTTATACTAGATGTCCTGGCTAGCCTTGTATGCATAAAGATGTTCTAATTCACAAAACCATAATTCTTCTCGAAAACTATCTAGTTGACACATTCTAAGTCTAGTATCTGACTTATTACATACTTTGCAATTAACAAGCATTCCACATCCTTCATCTTGGGTAAAGAAATGAATACTTCTAGAGTCATCTTGATCTAGAGCATAGTGGAAGTCGGTATAGCATCCAGGGCATATGAGTTTTTCTTCAAGAAGTTTAAAGACTTCAAGCCTGTTAGAGATTTTATATTAATAACAATAGTGGGTTCAGCAAGAGCTATGTGTAGATAGACAATTACTATCGACCTAATCAAGAGTACATCCACACTGATAAACCAAGTTTTGTCTTTTTCAAATAGCAAGAGGACAATAAGCTTCGATATAGCCTAATGTACTGCATTCTCTGCAGACATTATTGGGACAGTCTCTATATAAATGGTTGAAGTCATCGCAGATAGGGCAGGTAGAATGCTTTGGGGCTTGTTTAGGACATTTAACTGCAATATGACCAAATTCCTGATATCGGTTATATTGGTTGGTAGGACAATTTGCAAAGAGGTGGTCAGGAGAACCAAATTTCTACAGACACGCTATTTAGGAGCTTTCCTAGTTCTATGGTGAGATTGATAAATAGTCTATTCATTTTCTTCTCAGAAAGGAGATTGATCTGAGTCTTTGTGATCAAATGCATAGGCTTCTCGAGGATATAAGTATTCCGATTCATAGAGGTCTAATTCATCTGGTGTTTTTCCACTTAAAAGTATAACAGCCATTTTTCCAGTTGTAGTTTGCTTTGACCTTCTGATTCCAATTATTTCCTAAAAGAAGAGAGTAGGAGGTAGTGTCTACTACTTTTATAGTAAGAGGGATAGTAATATGATCAATTTTAACTGGTAAATCTTTTATAATTCCTAAAGGTCAGGTAGAGATTCCAACTGCAGGAACTATAAGGCTATTAGAGGTCCTTTCAATGGTCAATCCAAGTTCCTTAACTGTCTTGTGGGCAATCATACTGATTGAAGCACCATTATCAATAATAGTCTGATAGGGTTTGTTCTGAAGAGA